TGGAGCGAACGGCTGGATCATCATCATCATCCTCATCATCATCATCGTCGTCATCATCATCATCGTTGTCATCATCATCATCGTCATCATCGTCGTCGTCGTCATCATCGTCATCATCATCATTATCATCATCATGGTCATCATCATTATCATCATCGTCATTATCGTCATCATCATCATTGTCGTCATCATCATCGTCGTCGTCGTCATCATCGTCGTCATCGTCATCATCATCGTCATCATCATCACGGTCATCATCATCGTCATCATCATCATGGTCATCATCATCCTCGTCGTCATCGTCATCATCATCGTCATCATCATCACGGTCATCATCATCGTCATCATCATCATGGTCATCATCATCCTCGTCGTCATCGTCATCATCATCGTCATCATCATCACGGTCATCATCATCGTCATCATCATCATCCTCATTATCATCATCGTCGTCGTCGTCATCATCGTCGTCATCATCGTCATCATCATCATCATCGTCGTCATCATCATCATCACGGTCATCATCATCATCATCATGGTCATCATCATCATCGTCGTCATCGTCATCATCATCATCATCACGGTCATCATCATGGTCATCATCATCATCGTCGTCGTCGTCATCATCATCGTCATCATCGTCATCATCATCATCATCATCGTCGTCATCATCGTCATCATCGTCATCATCATCATCATTATCATCATCGTCATCATCATCATTATCATCATCGTCGTCATCATCGCACGAGACACTGGGATGCTTCTAGACACTACCCACCACCACGCACCACGTCTTTGTTCAGGCCATGCATCATCTTGCACGCTATCACGAACTGTGCCTACCCTCTATATTATGTATCATTCTTTATTACGTGATTCCGTAAAGTTGTGTTCTTCAGGAACGCAACTACCACCACCAATACCACCGTCGCAGCTCCCGCTTCATAACAATCATAATAACAATGACAACAACAATAACAACAACAATGACAACAACAATAATACCAACAACCATAACAATAGCAACAATGAAAAAATTAGCCCGTAAAAACAAAGTTTTTCACTATAAATCCTTTATATGCGTGGCGGCTAGAGTCCTTTCGTCCTCTGGCTTGAGATGGCTGCCACCTATGGGTCAGATGATTGCCTGCCACCATTAAGCAATTGGTAATTTAATATAATTTATTTTTTCCTAAAAAGTGTAAAATTTTGGAAAATTTTTTTTACACGAAAATGCATTGTCACGCACAACGAGTCTGTGTGCAAAATGTCAGCTCGATTGGATCACGGAAAGTGGGATAAAAAACGACCGAAAGATTTGTACGGTCGTAAGCAAGCAAGCAAGCACGCAAGCAAGCAAGCAAGCGAACTTAATATAAAGGATTAAACAAGTATAACCCGTAAAAACAAAGTTTTTCACTCTAAATCCTTTATATGCGTGGCGGCTAGAGTCCTCTCGTCCTCTGGCTTGAGATGGCTGCCACCTATATTGTCAGATGATTGTCTGCCAGTATTAAGCAATTGGTAATTAAATATTTAATTAGTTTTCCCTAAACAGTGTAAAATTTTGGAAAAAAAATTGCACGAACATTAATTGTCTCGCACAACGAGTCTGTGTGGAAAATGTCAGCTCGATTGGATCACGGGAAGTGGGTTACAAAACGACCGAAAGGTTTGCACGGTCGTAAGCAAGCAAGCAAGCACGCAAGTGAACTTAATATAAAGGATTTAAAAATATAACAACCATAACAACAATAACGTTACCAACAATCAAAACAACAAAAACAACTACAATATCATATTCTCGGTTCTTTCGGTAAAGTCACGTAGAAGGGAAATAATAAAATAATATTAATATGAATCAATACAAATTCTCACGACGTTTCGACTGCAACACAAGCAATCATCATCAGGTGTGAAATCCACAAAAATCAAATTTACAATTTAAAAAATTTTCTTTTTCTGGATTTCAAAATTTTCTAATTTTCTTTCTGTGGATTTCACACCTGACGATGATTGCTTGTGTTGCAGTCGAAACGTCGTGAGACATTTTTCTTGATTTATATTTATATTATTTTATTATTTCCCTTCTACGTGACTTTACCGAAAGAACCAAGAATATGAATCCCTGCAGTCACGAAAGCTTTAAATCAAAACTGCAATATCAACAATAATTAACAACATTGACAGCTATGACAACAATAATACAATATCAAACAATATCAACAACAAGAACAACAACAACCATACCAACCATAAAATTACTACACGCATATTCAACGCCTATTATAATATTAATAAAGACAAACACCAATTTACACCATTGGAACCTCATTTGCCAGTAGCAAAATATGATAATTGTTTTTTTACCCTTCTATCTGGCAAAAAAACTGACACCTTTTTTACAAGGAGTCATGTTTGCATAGACCACAATACCTGCAGTTGGAATGCAAACAAAACACATAACTCTGATAATGTATGCACTGTCCTTGAAGTTGATTGGTTCAACACCATATGCACTGTCCTTGAAGTTGATTGGTCCACACCCGAGACGGCTTTCTTTAGAGCCTAGTCCCCATTGGTGTTGGACCAGATGACGCCAAAAATGCTTACCCCGAGCTCTCAATACTCTGATATTGCACTGTGTTTGAGTTGTACGCCTTCTGGTGTCATCTGGTCCAACACCAATGGAGACTAGGCTCTAAAGAAAGCTGTCTCGGGTGTGAACCAATCAACTTCAAGGACAGTGCATATTATTATCATCATCAGAGTTGCTTATTTTTGTTTGCTTTTTTGACTACTTGTGTTGTGGTTATTGCAAACATGATGCCTTGAATAAAGGTGTCAGTTTTGTACCAGTTTAAAAGGGTAAAAACCTACTTCTACTTTAAAGAACCTGTACTGCTGAGACGTGTATGGCCAGCGTATGTGTCATTTTCGACACGTCCTAAAACGTCGGCAGAAACAAACCTCTTTAGAGAAGTTTTTAGTCAGAAAGAGCTCAAGTGACTCACCGTTAGTGGCAGAAAAGAGGCACACAAGAGAAACAACCACAGAAGGGCAGTTTATCCGATGTTATTATTTGAAAGGGGACTCCCCTTCCAAACACTAACACCACCACCACCTCCTCCTACTCACCACCTTTCACTAAAGCCATCAACTCTCCTTACTAAAGGGCAAGTGAAGTTCAATGTTAATTTATTTCATTTATATTGCATTTATTTATTCATCTATTTCATTTATTTATTGTGTTTCTTGTTTTTTTTATTAACGATTTTATGCATGTAATTACTGTAAACTTCGTGTAAAACTCATAATCAACGTTTTTGGGTTTAGATCGCGTTATTTATAAATGTGTCGTAACCCTCCACCACCCGACACGGCCAATCAGTAAATAAGTATAACCCGTAAAAACAAAGTTTTCACTATAAATCCTTTATATGCGTGGCGGCTAGAGTCCTCTCGTCCTCTGGCTTAAGATGGCTGCCACCTATGGGTCAGATGATTGCATTGCACCATTAAGCAATTGGTAATTAAATATAATATTTTGTCCTAAAAAGTGTAAAATTTTGGAAAACATTTTCACGAACATTAATTGTCACGCACAACGAGTCTGTGTGGAAAATGTCAGCTCAATTGGATCACGGGAAGTGGGTTAAAAAACGACCGAAAGATGTGCACGGTCCTAAGCAAGCAAGCAAGTGAACTTAATATAAAGGATTTAAAAAGTGTCACGTTGACAAAAGACAAATAGTTCACTGCTTTAGCCCACCGGTGTGTTGAAGCGTGAAACCACAACATTTACAATTTGAGTTGTACGACGTTTCGCTGGTAATTGCATCCAGCATCATCGGGCAAATCGCTGCTTTAGAATGAGAGATTTCTTGCATCTGGAACCAATTAATGTCATTTACATTTTTTTTTATCAGCAAATTTAATTCGGTGTTCGAACAAATCGGTGTTCTTTGGAATCTGGAACGAGTTAAGTTCGATCACCGGGGTACCACTGTACTGCATTGACCACACTCGGGACTCATGTGGTGAACATGCAAACACATGGCTCTGATAATAACACTGGTCTACACACTTTTTCTCGCATAAGGTATTCCAACGCTTTTAAGGTGATTTTGAGGTGATGATTCCAAAGTTTTTGTCTATCACATCAGGTTTGTGAGATATCAAATATTGCATTTTCAATAAAAACTGCAGAAGAAAAATATTAAATAAATGTGGATATCTACATAAAATGATATTATAAACACACTATCCTAAAAATACAGCACCATATTTTAGCACTAAAGCAGTCACTGACTCGCAACAACTTGCAATCATAAGTGACAGAGTTAATTTCGGGTAAAATCAATGAAAATGGGGTATGCCGATAGCATAAAATGAGATGTGATAGAGCAAATCTGAGATCAGATTTGGAATCAGCACCCTGAAATTAGTCTAGAACAGCTGCAAAAGTCCAGGCCAGAAAAACATGTTATTATATTGTTGACCAGTGTTATTTCATTAACTCCATTGATAATTCTCTGTGTGATTATTTCCATGAAGCCCACACCAGAGGTCGCAACCGGGTACCCGATACCCGTACCCTACCCGATACCCGGCTACCCATACCCGGCCAGGTACGGGTAGCCGGGTAGGCCGTGAGTCACTGGTGAGTCACCGTTTGTCACTCATTTCCCAACGTCTTGTCTCTTCTCACAATTCAAGTTCCTAGAATCAATCCACCCGCGCCTACAACATGGCTTCATCCCAGAGGTCGCAATCAGGTACCCGATACCCGTACCCTACCCGTACCCGGCCGGGTACGGGTAGGGTACGGGTACGGCCGGGTACGGGTACCCATTTGCGACCCTGGTGCGGCCAGGTACGGGTACGGGTAAGGAATCAAAACCCGTTTGCGACCTCTGGCCCATACCGGCTACACAAGAGAGAAGATAAAGACGACAACGACAACCGTTATAACCCGCGCAGTTAGTTGTGTCGTCTCAGACGGCCGTCTGCTTGACGAACTCCAGGATCTTGGAGAGCCTGGTGAACACAGCCGGCGAGCTGCACAGACCCCAGCTGCCCACCCCCATCACGTACCAGCGTCCGTCCACCTCTCTGCACAGCAGTGGGCTCGCCAGGCTCTGCCGCACACACAGAGCACAGCAAAGACAACGACCATCATGTAATCCACCCCGTGTAGCCTGTGACAGACTGTGAGAGTAGGTTATAACCCTTTCCGACAATAAAATAGGTCTCCACCTGAGGACGGCTGCTTGCGTTGTGGCCGAAACGTCGTGAGAATGATTTTATTATTTTTTAGTTTATTACTTCCCTTCTGCGTGACTTTACCGAAAGAACCAAGAAGATGAATCCCTGCAGTCACGAAAGCTTTAAATCGAAATAAAATAGTTGTGTTAAGATGTTAAAACGCCAAACAGAAACTTTGTGCAAGGAATCTGTTTGGTGTTTTAACATGTCCTCTTTTATTGCCAGAAAGGGTCAAACTTATTCTTATATTTTGATACAGGTGTAGAGCAGAGGTCGCAAACGGGTTTTGATTCCTTACCCGTACCCGTACCCGGCCGCACCAGGGTCGCAAACGGGTACCCGTACCCGTATCCGGCCGGGTACGGGTAGCCGGGTATCGGGTAGGGTACGGGTATCGGGTACCCGGTTGCGACCTCTGGTGTAGAGGAGTGAAATTGGGCATGACGTCAGGTGTGCCGTTCAGTGCGATGACGTCACGCCTCCTAGGCTACTTAAGGGAGACCCCGTGACGTAAGCGGGGTCACTGTGGGAACGGGTAGAGTGAGAAGGATGAAGAGGGAACCAGTGGGTAGAGATGTAATATTGTAAATTATGGCGGGAGACCACTTGACGGGTAGCACACTTTATTAACACTTTCCTTAGCCACAATAACACGTGTGGACAACTACAGCTCACGCTACATGTTCCACCCGGCTACACACACACGGGCTCTCCAGCCCCGTAGCTTCCAGGAGAACTCACAGACCCACCCCGGCTGGGGTATGGGTCACGACCACTGGGTCCCGCAGCCCGGCCCTCACAAGGACGTCCGGCCGCGGGTCCCAAGGTCCCGCCTCTGAGCCACACAGGGTCCCGGCCCTTACAAGGACAGCGGGACTAGGGGTCTCAGGGCCCTATCTCTTCCTCCTCCGTCTTCTGTCTTCACTGGTTACCAACTCCCCGAGCGCCCGCGCGCATCGCCTTTTATAGTCCTCCGCTCCCGAGGGACGGAGCCTATGCGGACCGCGATGTGAGCACCCACCCTAGTTGACCAATCACCACGCGCTGCCACACGATCCCTTTTTCCAGCGCGTGTCACCACCACATAACCAATCACCACGCGCTGCCACACGATCCCTACTGCCAGCACGTATCACCACTACAGAGAGAGGGATCGAGTGGTGAGTCTGGGGAGAAGCCGGTGTTAGCCGTAGAGGTGTAGTCGGCAGAGGCCACGATCCGACACGAGAGAGAGAGACCGGAGCTAGCCGGCAGGGACCCGGACTCAGAGTAGGACCTCCCTAGCCCCTGGGAGTTGTGTACCCTGCTGTTCCGCTCACCCCGCAAAACTGATTGGAGGCACAGATCATCCTGCTGGTGACGGCTCTGACGCTGCTGCTGCTGCTGCTGTTGACGGCTCGGCATTCCTCCTGCCCCACGATGTTCACGCGTCGCACGATCTGCGAACCTGAAACGCGACGGAGGGAAAGACGTAAGGAACGCGTCCTACAGCCCGTGCGGTGCGCCCGCTCACGCTTTCTTTCCCCAGCAAGGCGCGGATGTCCCCGTGGGTGAAAGTTCAAGTTCATTTATTAGGTATAGCCCTGTGAGCCATTCGGCTCTTGAATCGGGTGCAACTGCAACAAACAAAAAACATGAACAAAAAATATCTTAAAGTGAATATGTGACTGAGTGCAAACAGAAAATCCAAGAAAAGACAGCAAAATATTGCTGTCTTTTCTTAGAGCCTAGTCTCCATTGGTGTTGGACCAGATGACGCCAAAAGGCGTTTTTCTATGGCGTGGATGCCACTTGGATAGGAGCGGCGTCATCTGGTCCAACACCAATGGAGACTAGGCTCTAAGAAAAGCTGTCTCGGGTGTGGACCAATCAACTTCAAGGACAGTGCATATCATTATCATCATCAGAGTTGTTTCTTTTTGTTTGCATTTTGACTGCTTGTGTTGTGGTGATTGCAAACATGATGCCTTGTAAAAAGGTGTCAGTTTTTGTACCAGTTGAAATGGTATAAACCTATCACTATCTTAAGCGCTGTCACGAACTGCACCCTACCCTCTATATTATTTATCACTAATTATTACAACGCGATTATGTCCGTTAAGTGGTGTTATTCAGCATCTCTACTACTACTACCACCACGTTAATGGGGGACACGAGTTTCCTTTTTGTTATTGTTGTTGTAACATTCTCCAGGTCCTCCGCTTTCCCCCACGTTTACATTTAAAATCGATGTCTTTACACATTGAAGACTAATCTGGCTGCTTATACATGTTCACGCGATGATGATGATGATTTCGATTTAAAGCTTTCGTGACTGTCATCTTCTTGGTTCTTTCGGTAAAGTCACGTAGAAGGGAAATAATAAAATAATAAAAATAAAACATAATAAAGTAATGAGAATTATTTTATTACTACGTGACTTTACCGAAAGAACCAAGAAGATGATGATGATGATACACTACTTGGTTTGAGCCACCATCATTGGCTGATAGCCAGGACGCCTTCTGAAAAAGAGCTGCATAGAAAGCAGCTCAATTCGGGGGTGAAATAAGAAAACAAGTTTAAAATATCTTCTTGGTTCTTTCGGTGAAGTCACGTAGAATGGAAATAATAAAAACAGGTCCCTGCGGGGTGGGCTGGTAGGAACGAATAACCAAAGAATATAAACATAATGTATTATTACACTTGTTTAGCCAGGAAAGCCCCACTGAGTCTAAAGGTTTTTGTAGGGTCCTGCCAAGTGTTTGCAATAGGGGGCAATGTTGCTACACCTAATCGGACGATACGAAGGGAGAGATTGAGGCCTAGCTGTAGGCTTTACGCCGCCGTGAGTTAATTTTTATTTTAAATGTTTTAATGAGTTATGTAAAAGCTTTAAATTTAAATGTTTCTATTTAAAAACATGAGGGAATGTAACATTGTTAAACATTAACTCCCTTTCACACACGCGGGGGTACGATACGAAGGGAGAGTTTGAGGCCTATTTCTAGGCTTTAGGCCTAGCTGTAGGCTTTAGGTCGCTGTGAGTTTTTTTATTTAATTTCAAAGTATTAATTAAAAGCTATCTCAGGGAATTATTAGGGCGCTGTGAGTTTTTTATTTAATTTCAAAGTTTTAATTAAAAGCTATCTCAGGGAATTATTAGGGCGCTGTGAGTTTTTTATTTAATTTCAAAGTTTTAATTAAAAGCTATCTGAGGGAATTATAAGGGAATGTTACACTTGTTTAGCCAGGATAGCGTCGCTGAGTCTAAAGGTTTTTGTAGGGTCATGCCAAGCGTTTGCAGTAGGGGGCGATGTTGCTACATGGACGGACGGACGGACGGACAAACGGACGGACGATATAATCTATTGGTGTCTGGTCCACTTCGTTCCTACCAGTATAATAAAAATAAAACACCTATAAAGTTAATTCTCACGCCGTTTCGGCCACAACGCAAGCAGCCGTCCTCAGGTGAAGAACAGCGCTTATCAGAGTCTGTCTTCTCGACAGACCTGTTCTTCACCTGAGGACGGCTGCTTGCGTTGTGGCCGAAACGTCGTGAGAATTAGTTTATTATGCTTAATTATTTTATTATTTCCCTTCTACGTGACTTTACCGAAAGAACCAAGAAGATGAATCCCTGCAGTCACGAAAGCTTTAAATCGAAGTTTAAAATATTTTTCCCTTTCAAAAGACATTTAGCATCGAGGATCAGCGCACCGGTTAGGTCAAATCGACTCGAGCAACAACCAACCTCCGCTCGCGACGAATAGATTTACCCGCTTGGATGGACGCGACGGAGCAAGACTTCCCGGGTAGGAGATTTGGCTCGCGCCTGTCCGGGAGGCAAGCCGGCCTCACGGCGTCCGAAAGTGGAATGGCGTAGCTCAGTTGCACCAGTGCAGCGTCGTAGTCGGAGGTGGTGGCGTTGAACTTGGGATGCAGGTGAATGGCGGCGAGGGGTTGGAAGTTGCTGTTGTTGAAGGCTGCCCGCCAGTCGACAGGCAGGGCGGACCTGCGGTGCGTTAAAACTTAATTTGGAGCTTTCGTGACTGCAGGAATTACTCTTTGGTTCTTTCGGTAAAGTCACGTAGAAAGAGAAAATAATAAATTAAATACCAGCATACGACGTTTCGATTGCAACACAAGCAATCATCATGAAATAGAAAGACAAATCTAGTATACTTAGAAATGTTTCATTACATTTCTAAGTATACTATATTTGTGGAACACAGAAGTCCGACCAGTGGAGGTGGGCTGCAGAGGTTTTGTGGTAACATCTACAACCAGACTGCTTAGAGACCTGGGAATTAAGGGCCAGAGCCAGCATTACGGCAATCAGAGCTGTATCGGAGGCGGCTGAAGGCAGCAGTCAGTGGCTCTGGATGAAGAGGAAAGACCCCAGCTGGGCCCCGAAGTGAGAGGGCCAGGAGGTATGCGGTCAACAAGTGCTTGACTCAGGGAGGAGGACGCCCCTGCCATGCATAGTCCCATGGGATGTTGGCTATCAACAACAAGGCAACTCCTACGACTAATTGGGAATGGGACGCAAGCGTAGGATTGATCACCCTGTAGCTGGCCGCCTTTGGGGAGGGTGTATAGTGTGAAAGGCCGAAACACCCTAGGAACCGAAGGTACACTACTGACGATGCGCTCCCCAAATTTCACCAGGCTCACTATTCATGAACTCTTGAAAGTGCTTGCACAAAGGATAGTAACATCTCATCCTGTGTTCTTGGAATCTGATGATATGCTTGTGTTGCAATCGAAACGTCGTATGCTAGTATTTAATGTATTATTTTCTCTTTATATGTGACTTTACCGAAAGAACCAAAGATTAAGGCTGTCGTGGTAAACGATGGCATTTCCGTAATCATTATTGGGGGTTCACAAACGCTTTTTTTGGCACTGTATATGACAGCGGCCAAATTGGCGAGATTTTTAAATCCTTTATATTAAGTTCGCTTGCTTGCTTACGACCGTGCAATATTTCGGTCGTTTTTTAACCCACTTCCCGTGATCCAATCGAGCTGACATTTTCCACACAGACTCGTTGTGCGTGACAATTAATGTTCGTGAAATTTTTTTTTCCAAAATGTTACACTTTTTAGGACAAAAATATTATATTTAATTACCAATTGCTTAATGGTGCAATGCAATCATCTGACCCATAGGTGGCAGCCATCTCAAGCCAGAGGACGAGAGGACTCTAGCCGCCACGCATATAAAGGATTTATAGTGAAAAACTTTGTTTTTACGGGTTATACTTGTTTAAACTCCCTCCTCTGGTGCACAGGATGACATGGGTTCGATCTCGGACCTGACAATGCCTACTACTATATATTTGAAGTTTGCGTCTCTCTCTCATCACGGTGGCTAGGAGATGTTAACTACCTCACCTGGTATGCAGGAGGTCGCGGGTTCAATACCGGCCCTACCAATGCTTGCTGCTGTATATTAGCAGTCTGCATGTCTCTCTTCCTGTGGTCGCGTGGATTTTTCTTTGAGTCCTCCGTTCTTTTTTATTATTATACGCTTTTATTGAGCTCACTTTGTCTGTTGTTGTTGTCGTATCCTCAAATCTTGTAACTTAATTTTGAACCAACTTCCCAATGTGGTATCGACTGAAAACTTCGTATACTTGTGTCTTACTGATGACAATACTATATTTTATCATAAAAAATAAACAAAATATTTTTAAACATTATTTTTACACGCTTTCTATTAACTCTGTCTGCTGTTGTTGTATCCTCAAATCTTGTAACTCAATTTTAACCCACTTCCCAATATGGTATCGACTGCAAACTTGGTATACTTATGTGATACTGATGACAATACTACATTCTATCATAAAAAATAAAAAATATAAATTTTAAATAATCTTTTTACACGCTTTCTATTAACTCTGTCAGTTATTGTCTTATCTTCAAATCTTGTAACTCAATTTTAACCCACTTCCCAATGTGGTATCGACTGCAAACTTCGTATACTTATGTCTTACTGATGACAATACTATATTTTAGCATTAAAAAAATCTATATATTTTTAAATTCTTTTTTATATGTTATGTTTAGGCTTGGATCTAATTGTCCACGCTCAACTGACGTTGGCTGTAAGTCACCACGGCCCCTCACGTCATGGCAAGCCTCGGGGCCACTTCCTGGAGTCGTGGAGTTCTGCCATTACTAGTACGGTACATTTCATTAAAGCGTGTTTTTAAAAAAGTATTTTAAAATATTACTTATTTTTCCTCCACATTTAAAATGAACCTCATCAGGCGTTCAGAGTATTTGGCTGCTGCTATGAATGCCCACGTGATCATGACGATGACATCAGTCGCTTCGTTGAGTATTTGTGATGGCCTGGTCGTTTTTGAATAAAATATTTTAAAATACTTTTTTTTTAAACACGCTTATATGAAATGTACTCGTAATGGCAGAACTCCACGACTCCAGAAAGTGTTCCCGAAGCTTGCAATAACATGGCAAATTACAGCCAACGTCAGTTGAGCGTGGACAATTAGACCCAAGCCTAAACATAACATATAAAATATTCTTAGGTTATTTTTTTTTTCGGTAAAGTCACGTAGGTGAAACATCAACCATTATATATACGGAGTGGTATCTCCTGTAATCTCTCATTTGCTTGATACAGCTGTCGGGCTGTGACGGTTCCACCTGAAGACGGAAGCTTGTGTTGCCTCCGAAACGTCGTGATTTTTATTTTATATTTATTTTACTTTAATTAATTTTAATTTTTTACCTACGTGACTTTACCGAAAAAACCTAAGAATATGAATCCTTGCAGTCACGAAAGCTTCAAATCTAGAATAACATATAAAAAATAATTTTAAAAATATAGATTTTTTATGCTAAAATATAGTATTGTCATCAGTATGGCATAAATATACAAAGTTTGCAGTCGATACCACATTAGGAAGTGGGTTAAAATTGAGTTACAAAATTTGATACAACTACGACAACAACAGACAGAGTTAAAAGAAAGCGTGTAAAAATATTTAAAAATACTTTTTTTTTAAACACGCTTTGTGTGCCGATGTGTGTTCTCTCTCTATGTATCTTTGCGATATCTGTCTGCTTATATGTCTGTCTATAGTTTTCTGGTTAGATTTTTGTTGCTATTTCTTTTATACCTGATGATGATTGCTTGTGTTGCAATTGAAACGTCGTAGTATGCTATTATTTAATTTATTATTTTATCTTTATACGTGACTTTACCGAAAGAACCAAAGAGTAATTCCTGCAGTCACGAAAGCTACAAATTAAGATTAATGAAATGTACTGTCCGAGCTGCCCCTGCCCATGCCACCTTCCCCCATCGCCCCTCCCCCCTCCTTCCACATGCCCCACCCCTGGGCGTGGTTCCCCGAGGCTTGCCGTGACGTCAGGGACCACGTGGTGATTTACAGGCAACGTGAGTTGAACGTGGACAATTAGAGGCGTAAAAAATATATTTTTTAAATATTTAAATTTTCAATGATAGAATATCGTGTTGTCATCAGTATGACATAGCCATACAAAGTTTGCACTCGATATCACATTGGGAATACGGTTGAATTTGAGTTACAATATTTTTGGATACGCAACACATACAGTAAGTGAAATAAAAGCGTGTAAAAAGTTTTTTACACTATGAGATCTCTCTTACCAGTGGCAAAATATAATAGTAGGTTTTTACCCTTTTAACTGGTACAATAAAGGTGTCAGTTTTGTACCAGTTAAAAGGGTAAAAACCTACTATTAGTGTAAAAAGTTTTCAAATATATGTTTTGCATTCTTCATGATAGAATATAGTATTGTCATCAGTATGACACAGCTATACGAAGTTTGCACTCGATACGAGATTAGGAATACGGTTGAAATTGAGTTACAATATTTTTTGATACGCAACACATACAGTAAGTGAAATAAACGCGTGTAAAAAGTTTTAAAATATATGTTTTGCATTCTTCATGATAGAATATAGTATTATCATCAGTATGACACAGCTATACGAAGTTTGCAGTCGATACGACATTGGGAATACGGTTGAAATTGAGTTGCAAGATTTTTGGATACAACACATACAGTAAGTGAAATAAAAGCGTGTAAAAAGTTTTAAAATATATGTTTTGCATTTTTTATGATAGAATATCGTGTTGTCAGCAGTATGACACAGCTATACGAAGTTTGCAGTCGATAGCACATTGGGAAGTGTGTAAAAACTTTGTTACAAGATTTATTTTTTGAGGATACAACAGACAAAGTGAGTTAAATAAGAGCGTGTAAAAAATTAGTTTTTCACTATAAATCCTTTATATGCGTGGCATCGGGGGCGGCTAGAGTCCTCTCGTCCTCTGGCTTGAGATGGCTGCCACCTATGGGTCAGATGATTGTCTGGCAGCATTAAACAATTGGTAATTAAATATTAAATTTGTTTTCCCTAAACAGTGTAAAATTTGGGAAATATTTTTTTCACGAACATTAATTGTCACGCACAACGAGTCTGTGTGCAAAATGTCAGCTCGATTGGATCACGGGAAGTGGGTTAAAAAACGACCGAAAGATTTGCACGGTCGTAAGCGTGCAAGCAAGCACGCAAGCAAGCGAACTTAATATAAAGGATTTAAAAAGAGCCACTGGTAAAATGAAAAATTGTTGTTTAATAGTTCAACACTTAGTAGTAGTCGTGGCTTTAGCGACCAATATTATATTAAAAAGAAGGTTTTTGTTTGGTTATATTGCGTAAATATAAATGTGTGTCGTTAAATACACCACGACCACCCGTCACACGACCAATTAGTCGCATGACGAGGCTTCTGATGATTGTTGTAATTTGTGGTGAAACGTCACGTTAACTGGAATTGTAAATGTTGCAGTGGGTTTACTCTCCAATACACACACACACCGGTTCGTGCTGAACTAAGTAACTAATTGTCACGATTTCGATTTAAAGCTTTCGTGACTGCAGGGATTCATCTTCCTGGTTCTTTCGGTAAAGTCACGTAGAAGGGAAGTAATAAAATAATAAAAATAAAACATAATGAAATAAAATAATATAATAATATAATAAAATAAAATAATATAATAATATAATAATATTTTATTTTATTATGTTTTATTTTTATTATTTTATTACTTCCCTTCTACGTGACTTTACCGAAAGAACCAGGAAGATAATTGTCACGATAGAAAAAATAAGTAAAACCTAAAAAAATGTAAATATGATTTCTAATAAAATAATATAGAATAATAATACAAATTGACACGAATGGAATAAATAAAAAAAAATAGTGAAATTTATAAAACAATGATACAATTTTATTTCACATAAAAATAATAAACAAAACATTTTAGAACAAATTTCGCGTAAAAATGTTAAAAAAATTTTTAAAATAAAAGTCACCACTCACGTGCCGCTGAAACAGGACGCGCTGGTGAGGAGCCACTGCGCGTTGAGAAGCGTCGAGTCGCACGAAGCAAAGTTCCCGCTGGTGCTTTGCAACTGGGCAAGCCACGGCTGCGTCTGCCCCATCGTTTCCACTCCGCAGTCTGTGCCGGGGAAGGGGGTGATAGCCATCGGCGTATAAGAGAGAGATCTGTGTGTGGCTCAGAGGTCACAAACAGGTTTTGATTCCTTACCCGTACCCGGCCGCACCAGGGTCGCAAACGGGTACCCGTACCCGGCCGTACCCGTACCCTACCCAATACCCGGCTGGGTACGGGTAGGGTACGGGTAACGGGTATCCGATTGCGACCTCTGGGATGAAGCCACGTTACAGGCGCGGGTGGGTTGATTCTAGGAACTTGAATTGTGAGAAGAGACAAGACGTTGGGAAATGAGTGACAAACGGTGACTCACCAGTGACTCACGGCCTACCCGTACCCGTACCCGGCCGCACCAGGGTCGCAAACGGGTACTTAGTTCAGCACTCACCGGTGTGTGTGTGTTTGAGAGTAAACCCACTACAACATTTACATTCAGAGAAGGGTTTGTCACATAAGCAAAACATAACCAATTAGTTAGTGCTGAGCTAAGTAACTACTTGGGCTTGGTAATAGGGTTTTACCCTTTCAACTGGTAGAAAAACTGGCACCTTTATACAAGGCATCATGTTTGCAATGACCACAACACAAGCAGTCAAAATGCAAACAAAAAGAAACAACTCTGATGATGATAATGATATGCACTGTTCTTGAAGTTGATTGGTCCACACCCGAGACAGCTTTTCTTAGAGCCTAGTCTCCATTGGTGTTGGACCAGATGACGCCAAAAGGCGTACAACTCAAAAACAGCGCACTATCAGAGTATTGAGAGCTCGGGGTAAGAATTTACACTATGAGACATCTCCTTTAACGTCAAATATCCTGTCGCTTACACATTCGTATAGTAAGAGGAAATGCTAATTATATATTTTTTAAACGATGCTGTGTTGTATTTTACGATTTCCAATATAACCCTAATCAATAATTTTAATCAATGAATTAATAATAGCAAAAATAAAGCCGGTGTCTAACCTCTTGAGGTTTGAGTTCTGCCAACGTACACGTAGCTGATCCTGAATCCCCGTCCTGGAGGAAATGCAGGGAGAGAGGCAAACGCAGGGCGTTAAGAAGCTATTGGAGTTCAACTCCGGTCATACAGAGACGCCCTCTACTTACGAACATTTGACTTCAGAATTTTCAGAGGTACGAACAAACCCCGGTCCGTATGTCCATTTGCCCGTTCGGACCGAGAGTTGTAAGTCCAACCACAGCACACTAGATGGCGGTGGTGGCATCTACATCTGCAGAACATGAAGAACCAGTGGCATCTACATCTACAGAACGTGAAGAACCAGTGGCATCTACAGAACATGAAGAACCAGTGGCATCTACATCTACCGAACGTGAAGAACCAGTGGCATCTACAGAACGTGAAGAACCAGTGGCATCTACATCTGCAGAACGTGAAGACCCAGTGGCATCTACAGAACGTGAAGAACCAGTGGCATCTACATCTGTAGAACGTGAAGAACCAGTGGCATCTACAGAACGTGAAGAACCAGTGGCATCTACATCTGTAGAACGTGAAGAACCAGTGGCATCTACAGAATGTGAAGAACCAGTGGGATCTACATCTGTAGAACGTGAAGAACCAGTGGCATCTCCATCTACGGAACGTGAAGAACCAGTGGCATTTACATCTGTAGAACGTGAAGAACCAGTGGCATCTACATCTACAGAACGTGAAGAACCAGTGGCATCTACATCTGTAGAACGTGAAGAACCAGTGGCATCTACAGAACGTGAAGAACCAGTGGCATTTACATCTGTAGAACGTGAAGAACCAGTGGCATCTACATCTACAGAACGTGAAGAACCAGTGGCATCTATATCTGCAGAACGTGAAGAACCAGTGGCATCTACATCTACAGAACGTGAAGAACCAGTGGCATCTACATCTACAGAACGTGAAGAACCAGTGGCATCTATATATGCAGAACGTGAAGAACCAGTGGCATCTACATCTACAGAACGTGAAGAACCAGTGGCATCTACATCTACAGAACGTGAAGAACCAGTGGCATCTATATCTGCAGAACGTGAAGAACCAATGGCATCTACTTCTACAGAACGTGAAGAACCAGTGGCATCTACATCTACAGAACGTGAAGAACCAGTGGCATCTATATCTGCAGAACACGAAGAACCAATGGCATCTACATCTACAGAACGTGAAGAACCAGTGGCATCTACATCTACAGAACGTGAAGAACCAGTGGCATCTACATCTACAGAACATGAAGAACCAGTGGCATCTACATCTACAGAACGTGAAGAACCAGTGGCATCTACATCTACAGAACATGAAGAACCAGTGGCATCTACATCTGCAGAACGTGAAGAACCAGTGGCATCTGCAGAACATGAAGAACTAGTGGCATCTACATCTACAGAACGTGAAGAACCAATGTGATCTACATCTACAGAACGTGAAGAACCAGTGGCATCTACATCTGCAGAACGGGAAGAACCAGTGGCATCTACATCTACAGAACGTGAAGAACCAGTTGCATCTACATCTGCAGGAGATGATACAACTTTAAAAGCCATTCCCCGTGTTTACTGTACATACTCTTTGGTTATTTCGGTAAAGTGACGTCGGTATAAATGTATTATATTTTATACCTAAGTGACTTTACTGAAAGAACCAAAGAGTATGGATCCCTGCAGTCAGGAAAACTTTACTGTACATGTTGTACAACATGGTTAGAATCGACAGGAGTAAATTTGCACTCACAAACAAATCGACTTCTGGAACTTAACTCTGTCGTAAGTAGAGGAGTTCCCATACATGAAAAATAAGAATAGGTTGTACCCTTTCTGGCAGTATTTAAACAGGAGTTGTGTTAAAATGTTCAAACACCAAATAGATGATACCTTTTGCAATAAATCAAGTTACGGCATTAAGCGCACACATGTGGTGTGCATACAAACAACACATGCTCTGATGATAATAATTTCACATGTCATTGTTTGTTAAACTGATTGGCCTACACTAGAGACAGCAACAGTCTTCTTTATGGCCGAGTCTCACCACTACCAGTAACAGAGCGAAGACTGACGCCAAAAGAGGAACAGTACAAAGACAATGCCGCTCGTATTAGAGGCATTTAGAAGTGTCTAGGGCCTACAAGAACCTTAATGCGGCCTAACACCACCATCGCCACAACCACCACCATCGCCTCCACCGCCATCACCATCACTGTCACCACCATCACCACCACCGCTACCATTACCACCACCGCCACCATCACCACCACCGCCATCACCATCACTGCCACCACTACCGCAGCCATCACCACCACCACCATCACCACCGCCACCGCCACCATTACCACCACCGCCATCATCATCACCGACATCACCACCACCACCATCACCGCCACCACCGCCACCATTACCACCACCGCCATCACCATCACCGCCACCACCATCACCACCACCGCCACCACCACCACCACCACCACCACCGCCACCATCACCACCACCGCCACCACCACCACCACCGCCATTGCCACCACCACCACCATCACCACCACCACCGCCGCCACCACCATCACTGCCACCACCACCACCGCCACCACCGCCACCACTAAGTTACCCTCCAGGGGCCCCGTGGAGTTGAGCACCAGGCTGAGGCTTTGCCCCGTCGACTTGAGGCTGTGGGGCGGCACGGATCCGCGCCCCGTGCCGCACAGCACGGCCAGGGACTCCGGGTCACCGCTGCCGGGGTCACCGTCCAGCACCGTGAGGCTCTCGTTCACGCACGACGAGTGGTTCATGAGGCTGTCGGAAGGGAGTCGGAGGAGAGATCGTACGGTCACTGCTAGTCACAGGAGAACGGTCATGGCAGTGCCGTGCTGCGCTACCGATCCCGGCGACCCGAGTTCGATCGCTGAGGGGTGTCCGGGGGGAGTAGGAGAGGAGAGTGGGGATTGAGGATGAAGCGGTGGGTGAGCCAATGGTGGAGACGACAAGGCGGAGCGGTGTGCCTTCTTTATGGATTTTTGGTAAGCTATAAGATCTGGGTGGTCTAGCAGCAGAGGGTTTTAAGGCAAACCGCTTGGTTGGTTCGATTAAAGATTCATACTCTTGGTTCTTTCGGTAAAGTCACCATGTAGGTGGGACCGTCACAGCTTGATTTAAGAGCTTGCATCTTGAATCCCTGCCTCACTTGATGCAGCAAATCTGGCTGTGACGGTCCCACCTGATGACGGAGACTTGTGTTGCCTCCGAAACGTCGTGATTTTATTATTTTATTTTTATTAATTTTTATTTAATTTTTTAACCTACACGGTGACTTTACCGAAAGAACTAAGAATATGAATCCTTGCAGTCACGAAAGCTTCAAATCTAGCAGTCAAGTGAGTCTATGGTATCCAATCCGATGTCGAATCAGTGATGATGTTGTTGGTTTTCGTAACCAGGCAGTTGGTAGGATCTCTATTGATCATGGTATAGCTGCCATCATTAAGTAGGTCCTGAATGTTGTTGTTGTATGTGGCTTTGTTCAAGATGACAGTGGCATTGCCCTTGTCGGCTGAGAGGATGACGAGGTCACCTCTCTTTTTTAGTTGAGAGAGTTCAAGGCGCTCATTCTTGCTGCGTTTACACCCCGAACGTTCGTCCACTTGCTGTGATCGCCCCGTTGTTGGGGCTGTGAGAAAATGGCATCACCACCGCCACTTGTACTGGGACCGCCACCACCACTGCCACCACCACCACCAACAACAACAACAACAACAGCCATTCGCCACTAAGTTGCGGTGATCTCACCACGATGCTTGTGCCGGGCTATGTGCACATTGAGGCCACGTGAAGTGTCAAACGCCCGTGGCAGGAGGTCACGGGGCAGGCCCAGGTGCCACGGGTCGACAAAGATGACTAGACGATGCGCCACCTGTGCCCCTACTGAGCCAACTTGCTGTGCTTTAGCCACCCGGCGCTCCGCTCATTGTTGTGAGCGTCGCTCCTCTCCCTCCGTTGTTGTTGGAGGGCGACTGCCTTCAACTGCCCAGTAGCATCCTTCACGAGCCTCCTCTACAGAGGCCGATCTTGACACCGCTAGTACCAGTCATCAGAAAGTCCACTCAGCTCCATATCCTCTTGTTCTACATTACTCCATCTCTTCTGTAGCCCGTGCCACACCTGTTTAGCCCCCTCTGTCCAGCCGAACAAAAGCTGTCTGGGCATGCGGTGGCTGGGCATGCGGGCTACATGACCCAGCCAACACTGCCTTGCCTGCTGGAGGAGCTCACCGATGGGACTTTGTCCAGATCTTTCAAGGATTTGTGAGTTCCTCACATAATCCAGCCTGGTTAAACCCAGTATGGATCATAGGAAAGACAGCCTAAATGTTTCTAACCAGCAAAGATGTTACATTAGGGGAGTCCACGTTTCGCAAGCGAAGAGAAGGGAGGGCATGCCTGTGGCCGAGAAGACCTGAAGCTTTGTGTGGAGCGACAGACCAGGTAACTTCCACGTAGCGTTACTCTCGACTGATTCGGAGTGAGACCTCTGCTGTAAAACTGGTCATGAGCAGACTACCCAGGTATGGGAAACACTCCACTCTCTCCACAACCGCCCCATCACCAATTTGGAGTCGTGGGGGTGGAGTGCCCGATGGTACAAAATACCCAGGCAGGTGCTTAGTTTTGGTGGGGCTGATGGTAAGGCCCCACCTCTTAGTGGCATGCTCCAGGTTCAACAGCAGCACCTCCAACTTTTCCTCTGAGAGAACAGCAATTACCAGAACATCGGCATACATAACATTGTTGCACTATCGGGATTCATCCCTTGACCGCACACGGGCATCGATCAGCCTCCCATTGTATCTGTACCATATGGAAATTCCTCCGGTACAGCTATTGAAGGCTTCACAAACTACGTGGTCGAAATAGATGTAAATAATGTGGGAGCCAGAGGACATCCCTGTCGCACCCCAAGGTGAAAAGGGAATGGCTCCATCTCCTGGCCATGTAGTTTTACCCGAGCCCACTGACCATCATGAAGGTCCTTAATGATTTTGAACAGCGAGTCAAGGATTCTGAAAGCACGAACAACAACTCAGAGCCCATGCCTGCTAATGGTATTATAGCCCTTGACCAGGTCAGTAAAGCAGAGATGTAGGTCTTGTGGGAATTCCCTATACCTCTTGTGTAGCAGACGGACAGAAAATATGGCATCTGTGCAGGACCGCCCTTATCTGAAACCACATTGGGGCTCCGCAAGCCTCTCCTCAGCGTGCCTGGCAAGGCGATGTTGAATAATCCTTGCTAGGACCTTTCCCGGCACACTGAGGAGTGAGATGCCCCTGTAGTTGTTACAGTATGTGCGGTCCCCCTTCTTAAAGAGGGGGACTGCCAGGGCATCCTTCCAATCCTGAGGAACCCGTCCAGTAGTCCAGACTGTTGTTATGATGTCATGCAGGGCAGTCTGTGCACAAACACCACCCTCCCTCAGCATTTCGCTTGGGAGATCATCTCTGCCCGGTGCCTTTCCTGGTCTCAGACTTTGGATCCCCTTCAGTACTTCCTCAACAGATGGCACCTCAGCCAGCCACTCACAGGGGGTGACTACTACTTCTAATATTTGAGGCACCACCACCACCCCTTCCACCCCCGCCTTAGTCGGCTGAATACCTGAGCCACTCGACCTTGACCCTGACGACTTTCGGCGCCGTGGTGTGGATCGCAAACACGTGGCTCACCGCGCGGTCGACCGGCACGAACTCGGCGGATGCGACGGTGCCGCTGACATTGGAGAAGTCGCTCCGACCTAGCAGGGAGGGGGGAGGGGTTGGGAAGGAAGAGGGGGGGGGGACGCCATATTGTTTTGGTACCGCTGACACCCCCGTTCTGTTGTGGTGGTGGGCGCGTGATGCGTGATGCGAGTTCGTGGAATGGGAGACGTTGTTTAGAGGCCTTATCGTGGTCACGTGGTGAAGTCTCATTGTGGTCACGTGGTGAGGCCTCATTGTAGTCACGTGGTGAGGTCTCATTATAGTCACGTGGTGAGGCCTCATTGTAGTCACGTGGTGAGGTCTCATTGTAGTCACGTGGTGAGGCCTCATTGTAGTCACATGGTGAGGCCTCATTGTGAACACGTGATGAAGCCTCATTGTGGTCACGTGGTGAAGCCTCATTGTGGTCATGTGATGAAGCCTTATCGTGGTCACGTGGTTGAGTCTCATTGTGGTCACGTGGTGAGGCCTCATCGTGGTCACGTGATGCGCACGAGCCGGTGTGCATGTGTAGAGTTGTTACGGATGGGAAACAAACACACTGGGCGTGGCTATGTCTGTACGTGAGGAAGTGCTTACATCGACGTCCGCACCGTTTAGCCTGGGGGGCTGACACGGTGCTGGGATCCCCCACGGCCCCACCCCTCAGTGGGGGAGTTGCTATATAAGGTGGTGAGCCGGAGGGCTCGGGGTTCAGTGTTAAGCCTTAACCAGCGAAGCAAGAAGACCGGCTAGATAGGCCCTGGGACTCCCCTGGATCGCTGTCCTTCTCAGGACCGACCAGGGCAAGCCAGCGGCGTGGCCCCGAGAGCCCAGAGCCGATGCTCTTGTAAGAGCCGGTCTGGGGACTCAGGGTGCCGTAATCCCAGCTTAACCAGAGCTGGGTCAGCTAGCCTCCCCTAGCCCTGTAGGGGAGGACCTAGGAGTAGGCTAGCTGTGACATAGATTGTGTGATCTCCCTGTTAGACGGGTGAAGGGGCCGGTCTGGTGACTCAGGGTGCCGTGATCCCAGCTTGGCCAGGGCTGGGTTAGCTAGCCTCCCCTAGCCCTGTAGGGGAGGACTTAGGAGTAGGCTAGCTGTGACATAGATTGTGTGATCTCCCAGTTAGACGGGTGAAGGGGCCGATACCCCTTCAAGTGTTGTACATCTCGGCGGGTTCTGTACTTTGTGCTTAATAAATAAGTGTGCCTCCGACTACGTCGTCCAAGCCTCCTTGAACCACACTACACGTGCATGTCGACGGAATGCCCTCACCCGTTCCCAGCGGCGACGCTGTAGTTGCTGGTGCTGCCATTGAGGTTGTTGCAGCTGTCGGCGTCGGTGTCGGTTGTGGCGGCGATGATGGCGTTGAATATGGCGTCGGCCATGTTGTCGTTTCTGCTGTTGCCGGTGTGGTGGCTGTAGTGGTGGTTGTGTTTGGTGCGTCTGTTGTGGTGGTTGTGTTTGGTTTGGTTGTTGTGTTGGTTGTTGTGGTCGGTGTGGTTGTTGTGGTGGTTGTGTTCGGTGTGGTTGTTGTGGTGGTTGTGTTCGGTGTGGTTGTTGTGTTGGTTGTGGTCGGTGTGGTTGTTGTGTTGGTTGTGGTCGGTGTGGTGGTTGTGTTGGTTGTAGTCGGTGTGGTTGTTGTGGTGGTTGTGTTCGGTGTGGTTGTTGTGTTGGTTGTTGTGTTGGTTGTGGTCGGTGTGGTTGTTGTGGTCGGTGTGGTTGTTGTGTTGGTTGTTGTGTTGGTTGTGGTCGGTGTGGTTGTTGTGGTCTGTGTGGTTGTTGAGGTGGTTGTGTTCGGTGTGGTTGTTGTGGTGGTTGTGTTTGGTGTGGTTGTTGTGGTGGTTGTGTTTGGTGTGGTTGTTGAGGTGGTTGTGGTCGGTGTGGCTGTTGTGTTGGTTGTGGTCGGTGTGGTTGTGTTGGTTGTGTTCGGTGTAGTTGTTGTGTTGGTTGTTGTGTTGGTTGTGTTTGGTGTGGTTGTTGTGGTGGTTGTGTTTGGTGTGGTTGTTGTGTTGGTTGTTGTGTTGGTTGTGGTCGGTGTGGTTGTTGTGGTCGGAGTGGTTGTTGTGTTGGTTGTTGTGTTGGTTGTGGTCGGTGTGGTTGTTGTGGTCTGTGTGGTTGTTGAGGTGGTTGTGATTGGTGCGTCTGTTGTGGTGTTTGTGTTTGGTGCGTCTGTTGTGGTGTTTGTGATTGGTGCGTCTGTTGTGGTGTTTGTGATTGGTGCGTCTGTTGTGGTGGTTGTGTTTGGTGCGTCTGTTGTGGTGGTTGTGATTGGTGCGTCTGTTGTGGTGGTTGTGTTTGGTGCGTCTGTTGTGGTGTTTGTGATTGGTGCGTCTGTTGTGGTGGTTGTGTTTGGTGCGTCTGTTGTGGTGGTTGTGATTGGTGCGTCTGTTGTGGTGGTTGTGTTTGGTGCGTCTGTTGTGGTGTTTGTGATTGGTGCGTCTGTTGTGGTGGTTGTGTTTGGTGCGTCTGTTGTGGTGGTTGTGTTTGGTGCGTCTGTTGTGGTGGTTGTGTTTGGTGCGTCTGTTGTGGTGGTTGTGATTGGTGCGTCTGTTGTGGTGGTTGTGTTTGGTGCGTCTGTTGTGGTGGTTGTGTTTGGTGCGTCTGTTGTGGTGTTTGTGATTGGTGCGTCTGTTGTGGTGGTTGTGATTGGTGCGTCTGTTGTGGTGGTTGTGATTGGTGCGTCTGTTGTGGTGGTTGTGTTTGGTGCGTCTGTTGTGGTGTTTGTGTTTGGTGCGTCTGTTGTGGTGTTTGTGTTTGCTACGTCTGTTGTGGTGGTTGTGATTGGTACGTATGTTGTGGTTGTGTTGGGTACGTCTGTTGTGGTGTTTGTGTTTGGTGCGTCTGTTGTGGTGTTTGTGTTTGGTGCGTCTGTTGTGGTGGTTGTGATTGGTACGTCTGTTGTGGTTGTGTTGGGTACGTCTGTTGTGGTGGTTGTGATTGGTGCGTCTGTTGTGGTGGTTGTGTTGGGTGCGTCTGTTGTGGTGGTTGTGATTGGTGCGTCTGTTGTGGTGTTTGTGTTTGCTACGTCTGTTGTGGTGTTTGTGATTGGTACGTCTGTTGTGGTGGTTGTGATTGGTACGTCTGTTGTGGTGGTTGTTGCTGATGCTGTTGAAGTATCCACCGATGGTGACGACATCGGTGGAACGACAATGACAATTGCAAACAAACACGATGTTAAAAGAGCATCAGCATTGTCGTAGAACATTCTACAGTGGCTAGAAGATGTTACTACCTCGCCTGGTATACAGGAGGTCGTCGGTTCTATCCGGACCCTGACGATGTCTGGTGCTGTATATTTGGAGTCTGCGTATTTCTGTCTTCCCGTGGTCACGCGGATTTTTAAATCCTTTATATTAAGTTCGCTTGCGCGCTTACGACCGTGCAAATATTTCGGTCGTTTTTTAACCCACTTCCCGTGATCCAATCGAGCTGACATTTTGCACACAGACTCGTTGTGCGTGACAATTAATGTTAGTGAAAACATTTTCCCAAAATGTTACACTTTTTAGGACAAAAATATTATATGTAATTACCAATTGCTTAATGGTGCAATGCAATCATCTGACCCATAGGTGACAGCCATCTCAAGCCAGAGGACGAGAGGACTCTAGTCGCCACGCATATAAAGGATTTATAGTGAAAAACTTTGTTTTTACGGGTTATACTTGTTAGAATCAACGTCACTCGGCATCTATCCCGATGGCTCTTTGCCTTCACTGCAGCCTGCATCCCTTTGGTTCTCATTAGTTACAACAAAAATATAATAATGCTAATGAGGGGCCGTCCATAAATGACGTCACGCGATCTTGGACGATTTTTGACCCCCCCCCCCACCCCCTCTTCACACGGTGTTACAAAAAGTCAGACCCGCCCCCCTCAAATATGCCCTTACACACAACCCCCGGTAAAATAGAAATGAGATTTTAGTTAGTTCGACTTTCAGTCGAGAACTTTTCCACTCCAGTTTAACACGTGTGAGGCTTTCGCGACCAATATTATTCATAATCAACGTTTTTGGGTGTTAGATCGCGTTATTTATAAATGTGTCGTAACCCTCCACCACCCGACACGGCCAATCAGTAAAAAAGTGTCACGTTGACAAAAGACAAAATAGTTCACTGCTTCGGTAAAGGCACGTAGGTTAAAAAATGAAACCAAAGAGATTGAATCACGACGTTTCGGAGGCAACACAAGCTTCCGTCTTCAGGTGGAACCGTCACAGCCACGACAGCTGTATCAAGTTGATAGCTGTATCAAGTTGATAGCTGTATCAAGTTGATAGCTGTATCAAGTTGATAGCTGTATCAACTTGATAGCTGTATCAAGTTGATAGCTGTATCAAGTTGATAGCTGTATCAAGTTGATAGCTGTATCAAGTTGATAGCTGTATCAAGTGGATAGCTGTATCAAGTTGATAGCTGTATCAAGTTGATAGCTGTATCAAGTGGATAGCTGTATCAAGTTGATAGCTGTATCAAGTTGATAGCTGTATCAAGTTGATAGCTGTATCAAGTTGACAGCTGTATCAAGTTGATAGCCGTATCAAGTTGATAGCTGTATCAAGTTGATAGCTGTATCAAGTTGATAGCTGTATCAAGTTGATAGCTGTATCAAGTTGACAGCTGTATCAAGTTGATAGCTGTATCAAGTTGATAGCTGTATCAAGTTGATAGCTGTATCAAGTTGATAGCTGTATCAAGTTGATAGCTGTATCAAGTTGATAGCTGTATCAAGTTGACAGCTGTATCAAGTTGATAGCCGTATCAAGTTGATAGCTGTATCAAATTGATAGCTGTATCAAGTTGGTAGCTGTATCAAGTTGATAGCTGTATCAAGTTGATAGCTGTATCAAGTTGACAGCTGTATCAAGTTGATAGCTGTATCAAGTTGATAGCTGTATCAAGTTGATAGCTGTATCAAGTTGATAGCTGTATCAAGTTGATAGCTGTATCAAGTTGATAGCTGTATCAAGTTGATAGCTGTATCAAGTTGATAGCTGTATCAAGTTGATAGCTGTATCAAGTTGATAGCTGTATCAAGTTGATAGCTGTATCAAGTTGATAGCTGTATCAAGTTGATAGCTGTATCAAGTTGATAGCTGTATCAAGTTGATAGCTGTATCAAGTTGATAGCTGTATCAAGTTGACAGCTGTATCAAGTTGATAGCTGTATCAAGTTGATAGCTGTATCAAGTTGATAGCTGTATCAAGTTGATAGCTGTATCAAGTTGATAGCTGTATCAAGTTGATAGCTGTATCAAGTTGATAGCTGTATCAAGTTGACAGCTGTATCAAGTTGATAGCTGTATCAAGTTGATAGCTGTATCAAGTTGATAGCTGTATCAAGTTGACAGCTGTATCAAGTTGATAGCTGTATCAAGTTGATAGCTGTATCAACTTGATAGCTGTATCAAGTTGATAGCTGTATCAAGTTGATAGCTGTATCAAGTTGATAGCTGTATCAAGTTGATAGCTGTATCAAGTTGATAGCTGTATCAACTTGATAGCTGTATCAACTTGATAGCTGTATCAAGTTGATAGCTGTATCAAGTTGATAGCTGTATCAAGTTGATAGCTGTATCAAGTTGATAGCTGTATCAAGTTGATAGCTGTATCAAGTTGATAGCTGTATCAAGTTGATAGCTGTATCAAGTTGATAGCTGTATCAAGTTGATAGCTGTATCAAGTTGACAGCTGTATCAAGTTGATAGCTGTATCAAGTTGATAGCTGTATCAAGTTGATAGCTGTATCAAGTTGATAGCTGTATCAACTTGATAGCTGTATCAAGTTGATAGCTGTATCAAGTTGATAGCTGTATCAAGTTTATAGCTGTATCAAGTTGATAGCTGTATCAAGTTGACAGCTGTATCAAGTTGATAGCCGTATCAAGTTGATAGCTGTATCAAATTGATAGCTGTATCAAGTTGGTAGCTGTATCAAGTTGATAGCTGTATCAAGTTGATAGCTGTATCAAGTTGATAGCTGTATCAAGTTGATAGCTGTATCAAGTTGATAGCTGTATCAAGTTGGTAGCTGTATCAAGTTGATAAGCTGTATCAAGTAAATGAGAGATTGCAAGAGCTACCACTCCGTTTATATAATGGTTGGAGAGGGGGGAAGGGCCAAGTAAAACACACTTTTTATTAATATGGTAAGGTGAGGCTTAAGAGGGTGAGCCTTTGTTATGGAGAGGTACGGTTTGTGACTCAACCTGTGACAAGGAGACAACCACTAAACATGGTAAACCTGTAATAGTTGTCTGTCAAATAAGATTGACCAACTAAGTGTAGTTAAAAGAGTACGTGGTTCCTTGCAGTCACGAAAGCTTCAAATCGAGAATTAACTTTTCCACTCACGCGTTTGACACGAGGCGGGCGGCACGAGAAGCGAGACCAGCAGCAGGAGGAGGATCCACGCGACCCCCATCGTCCTCCGAACTCCGGAGCGACTCGGCTGACCTCTGGCACACGCGACGGGAGAGAGAGAAAGACTTTTGGCTTTGAAACAACTGTATTTCTCCAGCGGCAATTGCGCTGGAGTCACTAGTCATGAACGGTTCCTTGTGACAGGCAGAAAAAAATTATCCCTCAAAGTTCATTTTCTTGATGCTCATCTTGATAAATTCAAGGAGAACATTGGAGCGTACTCAGAGGAGCAAGGCGAGCGCTTCCACCAGGATAAACTGGACTTTG